AGAAAAAAGAAGTAGATTTGATAATATTATATAATTTTGAATAATTTTATTAATTAAGAACAGTACAATAAATATGATGATTTTATTTAATAAACGTTTTTTTATTACCATCGTTTTTTTCTCTCCTTTTTATCTACAGTTCATTATATTATTTTTATATTTTTAGGATAAAAAAATAATTAATCAAAAGGAAATAAAAGAAATAATTGATCAAAAGGAAATAAAAGAAGTATAAGAAATAATTGATCAAAAAGAAATAAAAGAAATAAAGAAAACAATAAGGTTAAGGATTGATTACTCATTTTGGCAACCTTTGTAATACATAATTGTCACTTCTCAATTCTAAGCCATACTGTTAATTGTCAGTTCCCCATAACACTATTATAATATAACATATTTGTATCAAGTAGATGATTCCATAGAACAGTGATAAATGGCTAATGCCTATTCAGATGATAAGATTATAACTAGAGTAAAATTTGTTTTGAAATAAGTTAAAAATCTTTGAAAAAATGAAGTTATCTTTTCTATTGAAGCTTGTGGACGAGGCTTTAATAAGTTTCCATTTGATTCCAAATGATGAGAATATTGTTGCAGTAGTAGAGAATTGTTTTCAAACTTTGTAAAGAATTTTGAGTACATAGTTGAAAATAATTTTTTTTAATGGAGAATTAAAAGAAGTATTAAATTTGCATAAATCAATATTTAAGAGTATGTTGCTAATTAATTTGTGGATGGTGATGTATTATCTTTATCGAACTGAAGTTGCATAAATTAAATATTATTAAATTTTTAGTCACCTTCGTTCTTGTTCGAGTATATTGGAGAAATGGGCAAAGACTACATTTATGCCGTAACACCTTTATTAAAAGACGTATGTACAGTATATCCATAAATATTGTGCAAGTCTTAAACAAGACATATTCGCACTCAAAACATTATTTTTATTTTACGTTTAGATATGTCTCTTGGTATTTTTGGTTTTGGATGTGAAGATGCCTTAGTTCATCTACTGAAATACGTTTGGTCAAACATTTTCGAAACATCTCATGTCATAAATGCCGTCATGGAGGAAATTGAGGGATTGATTTTCAATATGTCCTACAGGATTGTAATTCGGTCTTTTTGCTTTTTAAATTAATGCACATGATTTTGTAAATTTCTTATAGCGTTTATTCCATACTGCTCGTAAATGTTTGTGAAATCTATTGGAAAATATATAATAATTTATATATCGGCGCACAAGATGCTTTGATTCCATACTAATCCACGTATACGAACAATTATGAGCATTATGAATTATCGATGTGGTTCAAATTTCTGCAGTAAATGTAGTGTTTATTAATTCTTAAGTGTTTATCTTTTAATATTATACTTTCTAAACAAAATTCCTTCAAACAGAAATGCATCCTACTAAGGAATTGTAACAAATATTCTTAGGGGTTTAAATTTTTGACAATAAAAAATAAAGATATTTGGAATTGAACTTCTGGTTTTAGATTCGAAACTTTTAGAACATATCAAATATATGAAATGTAAAAACAAATAAAAAGTATATAAAATTTTTAATTTAATTCTTTAAATTTATATAAATAAAAATTATAAAAAAAAGCATAAATCAAATTTATTTTTTTAATTTTGTATTAGGGTTTTAAAATAAACTCGAATAAAATAAATAAATAAATTACAAAATATATTCTTTATTATGTTAATGTTATATCAAATACTGTATAATTATTTGAAATGATTTTTTTTAAAAAATATAATATACTGTACGTTATGTTAAAAAAATAAAAAAATTTAAAAGATTTGTACGAAGAAATATAAATTTGCAAATCTTTATTACTATGACAAGTTACAGTAATGTATATAGTATAATTATTCTAATAAAAAAAATAGAATTAAGATATTTTCCGTTTGGAATTTTTGGAATTTTTGAAAGTCACGGGATGTTTAATAGAACATATGAATAACACGTATTACTAAATTAAGAAAAATTAGGTAGTACATACACCATACTAAAATCACGAAATACTGTACTGTGGTTGGTTAGTTAATTTTTTTTTTTTTTTAATAAGTTTTTTCGAAATAAAGCATTAACATGGAAGGTTTACATAGCTTTAAGAAAGAACATGCCAAATGCCCCGGATGTGAAAACTTCGACCATTGTACAGATTGTTATTCTGAAAAATTTCTACCTGTTAATAGCGGGAATTTAGATATCGATAATTTAATTAAAGCAACACATGGAAATAACATTCGATATAGGTTAGAGTGGATCCCATTTGAAGATTTTACGGATGTCCAAGAAGTTGAAGAGGGCGGATTTAGTAT